AGATGGCGTCTAGAGGTAATACATGTGAGACTTGGTTTGAGAACCAATTTCTCCTCACGCCAATTACAAGTTGTCGTTGGACGTCGTAATCGCTAGACATCGCTACTTAACATGCAGTGGCTGGTGTCTATGGTCTTCGAACGTGAGGACGGCGTTTTACATCCCCCTTTGTGGCGACATTTGTTCTCTGCACTGATTCGCTTCTCTGCAGGAAGAATACGTGTCACCGCTCACGTACCGCAAATCGATCATACGTGACAACGTCGCTGTCGTTTCAGTCAGAATCCCCTCATACCAATGCCGTTCGCTTTCTGTCAAACGGCAATCCAACCTCAGTGTGCTTCAGCGCTCCAGTGCGGCAACACCTCTGTACAGTTGTTCGGGTTGCACGTCCCCAACTTCACTCGACCTCCGTATTTCTACTTGACATAATGTGCTTTCACAAGGGCTGCGCATGCCGAAGACGCGCTCTTGCAAACTGTGTCTTTACTTGCACCTTTGGCACCATTTTAGACGACTACTCCGCTTAGATGCCCCACGTGTAGCTTTGCGTTATGTCATTTGGATTTTTTGGGAGTGACCAACTTTCTTCATTTCCGACGTGTAAAACCTCGATTTCGGAATGGGATGAGGCGGCAGTAGTATACTAGTCATCGAATATGCTCACTTTTTGAACAGTCCTCTAGGTATCTCCTCCTTTCCACGATTCAGGCTTCGCAATAGGTCAGATGGTTTGATGGTCATCCTCACTACTGGGAAGCAAGAACGAGCGACGCCTTGGCAAGGGATGGAAATGCCTGGGACCGGCCATACTATTCCGGGAGGTGATTCCTGCGACTCCCGTAGTTCCTGCAAATCTTGTGATTCCTCGAGTTCCGATGTGCCGAACTACGGAGCGCTTTGCAATCAGTGAACATTGTTTCTTCGCAATATACATTGTTACTGGATCCGCAGCAATCACAGGAATCGCAGGAATCACAAAACTAGTATGGCCGGTCCCCCTTGGTTTGGACATAAAGCTTGCTGTGTCGTGCAGGCTTCTTTAGCCGAGTAAAGGCCCGGTACTTGCGCTTAAGACCGATAATTGAGGCATCCGTAAAAGTTCGTGCACTCAGTACTCTAATGAAGACTCAGTGTTGTGTTCATGGACTGCTGCTGTAGACCTGCTGTACACTTCTGTAGCGTTTTGATCTTGTGCCTATAGAAAAGCCACCTTATCTGCGCCGGATTTGAAAGGTATAGAGGAGTTTTCGTTAGAAATCTACAGTTGTTTCAACTATGTTTGACCATTTCTGGTTTCGATACAGTGCAGTTTTTCTATGATAACCTTTGCTATTTCTTCTTCGTCGCACCATTACTGCAGTCGTCTCCACTGCAGTAGTCGTTTTCACGTAACAGCTCTCTGAAATGTGTTTTTCTTCACAAATAACATCGCCGTTCGTGAAGTGCACTTCAAATACTGTAAAGTAAGAGCGTCGACGTTAAGTTATCGACATCTGTGCCTCGACGGTTGTTATGAGCTGATGGTGTGATAGCTTTTGACATATGCGACGTCGCATGCGGAGGCGCCCACCACACGTTTTGTTTCTGTTCCTGTGTACGGCATGATGCATCGATTGTCTCTCATTCGTCGTCGTGTCAATATTTTTGTGCCCGTTCAGGATCCCATCGTTGCTTCGTATGTCCTTCCACGGCGATAAACGATCCATTTGCTTCAGGTAATCCGATCATGAGTATCTCGAGGTTCGCTTACCCGCTCCTTGGCAATGCCAGCGGCATCATTAAGGTGAGCTTGTATTCTCTATAAGCTTGATCCTACATATCTGCTTTCCAGATCGCTCGCATGCAGAGCACCATCGCGCACACTATCAAGGTGGCCGATAATATCGAGAAAACTCGTGCGAAAGCACTTCTTGGTGGTGGCGAAAAAAGAATTGAGAGTCAGCATAAACGAGTACGATCAGTTTAGATAACTGAGATCGCGCGAACATTCTTAACAGTTTTTAGGGAAAGTTGACGGCTCGTGAGCGTATCGAATTACTCATGGATAAGGGCTCGTTCCGCGAATACGATATGTTTGCCGAACACACTTGTACCGATTTCAACATGCAGAAACAGAAAGTAAGTACTCTTTTGATGACGAGCTGGATCAGTAGCATGTCATTCAAAGTATGTGAACAGGATGCTGAATCTCGCTTAACGCGAGAAGTTGTTATTCTTTGTAACTCTCAGAGGGCGAATGTTTTTGCTTTGAGACAACATACAGTTCAGAGAATTGCTTCTGCAAAATACGTAGTCGTAGAGTTCCTTGCAGTTGATTGCTCTGAACAAATAGATATTGTGAATGTGGGTCATTCTGTGAAGAGTGAATTTGATAAAAACACCAAAAACATTGTTCTCATCCGTTGATCTATGAGCTGGGAAGTCAAGTCAAATTCACATAGGCCGTTGGAAGACAGTAATTTAAAGCGACATGTTCGCCGGGCAGCACCACAGATATCGTAATCAAGCCTTTTGCAGTACCCTGGAGATTCTGTCATTACTGGACGCGGTCATATCAATGGTCGTAACGTGTACGTATTCTCTCAGGATTTCACAGTTTTCGGTGGTTCCCTGTCAATGATCCATGCCAAAAAGATTTGCAAGATCATGAGGGTAATCAAGACTTTGTGGTTAGACACATCTGAAAGCAAGTTTTTAGGAAGCTATGATAGTGGGAGCGCCACTCATTGGTTTGAATGACTCCGGCGGTGCTCGAATCCAAGAAGGAGTAGATTCTCTTGCTGGCTATGCTGACATTTTCTTGGTAAGCCTTGAAGAAGCTCATGGACGTGAATCGTACTTTATATTGTAGAACAACACCATTGCATCCGGGGTAATTCCTCAGCTGTCACTTATTATGGGACCTTGCGCAGGTGGTGCGGTGTATTCCCCTGCTATCACTGATTTTACTTTCATGGTAAGTCTAAATGTTTCTTGGTAGGCCTTGAAGAAGCGTATGGACGTCTGCATTTTGCTCATTTTTCATCTTGAGGTGCGTGACACAAGTTACCTGTTCATCACTGGACCTGACGTTGTGAAAGCTGTCACCAAAGAAGAAGTGACTCAGGAAGAACTCGGTGGAGCAAAAACACATACCGCAACATCAGGTGGGCATCGTCAAAAGTGTGTGCACATAAGCATGTCTGTATAGGTGTGGCCGTTGGTGCGTTTGAAAATGATGTGGACGCTTTGATGAGTATGCGTGAGCTGGTCAATTATCTACCACTCTCAAACAAAGATCCTGCCCCAATCCGCGCTTGTGATGACCCATGGTATATTCCCAGATTCGGCTGCGTACTATTTTCGCAATTCGCTTCGATTCCAGGGACCGCGATGTACCGTCGCTAGATACTGTGGTTCCCCTAGAAAGTACCGCTGCTTACAATATGAAGGACGTAGTGACTGCTCTTGTAGACGAAGGCGATTTCTTTGAGATTGCGCCGGACTATGCTAAGGTTTGGGAGCTTCTTTTCATGCGCCATCACACGTGTTAGTCTTAGAACATAATCGTTGGATTTGCCCGGATGAATGGACGCACCGTCGGCATTGTGGGCAATAATCCTAAGTTTGCGGCCGGTAAGTTTGCGAAGTGGAGCTAAAAATCTGTTCATTTCGTGATTGCAGGCTGTCTCGATATCAACTCATCCGTGAAAGGTGCCCGTTTCGTGCGTTTCTGTGATGCATTCAACATCCCACTCGTCACCCTTGTCGATGTTCCCGGATTCTTGCCTGGTACAACATTTTTCTGAATCATGCGTATCTCCGCACCTATGCTTTGTATCGTTTCCTTGTTCAGGAACGGCTCAGGAATATGGAGGTATCATCCGGCATGGAGCCAAGCTCATCTACGCATATGCGGAGGCTACTGTGCCTAAAATCACTGTGATCACTAGAAAGGTGAATATCAAAAAGAAAATCCTGAGTGAAACGTTTATTCCTTTAGGCCTATGGCGGGGCGTACTGTGTCATGTCATCTAAGCACCTTCGAGGAGATGTTAATTATGCGTGGCCTACTGCTGAGGTTGCCGTCATGGGAGCTAAGGTGATTTGAATAGGCACTTATCGTTTTCATCTGTAAACTTGTAAGGTTTGAGGGTGCTGTGTCTATTCTGTTCCGTGGAGAGAAAGACGTAGCCAAGCGCGAGGAAGAATATATTGACGTTTTCAGCAATCCGTTCCCTGCCGCTGTTCGTGGTAAGTTTATCTTCTCGAGCTTTCAGAAACATTTCGATCTGTTCTTGATTCCTCTTGCGACAGGCTACGTTGATGACATCATTGAGCCTCATACCACCCGTCGTAGAATTTGCGAGGATCTCAGCCTACTGGAATCGAAAAAGCTCACGAATCCTTGGAGGAAACATGGAAACATTCCTCTTTAAAATCCATAGTGTATTGTCGCATTGCGTATGTGGTCTTAGCACATCACTGATGCCTCTCATAAGTGGTCTTAGTTTTTTTTTGGTATCTTCTCTGTCTCCCTTCCCATCCCTTCTGTCTCTTGCGGTCTTCTTGAACTCCTTCGGTGAGCGTGCAGATACAGCTTCGTGTACAATGAGATCGAGGGTACTGTAAGTGTTGGTAGCTCATGAAGTTCATAGACAATATCAGATTGTGAACCAGGGCTAGGCTCAAATATTGTTATTCTGTCGGCTCTTGATAATAATTTCATTGAAAGTGTGCATACTAGTGCATAGGTTAGTTGTTCTATAGCGTCTAGTCTCTTCTTTTCATAATGTATGTGCCTTTCAGTCGTTTCTGCCAAACTTACCTTCCTGCGCCTGACCTTTGTGAAACTTCAGTTCTCGATCGCTTCGACAGTTTTTCCATTGCCATTGTCTCGCTCAAGCATGTAGTATCTTAGCTCTATCTTTGTGATGGTTGGCTGCATTTACCGGTGTTGCACTTGTTTGGCATAAAAATTTTATTAATTGCTTCATCACTACATCACTTCTACGTTATTCTTTCACAGTACTCCGAAAAACCTTGCAACTGTCGTGAGGATCGCCTTTTGCACAGGAGGAATGACGCTCTCGACGTCTTCAACGGAGGGAATATCAATTTTTGGGATTTGATCAAGCGTGGGAAACGTTAGGGGTGGAATTGTCTGGAATGGAGTAGAAGCGATTGGATCAGCGCCTGAAAAATGAGTCTGATAAAAATTTTCGCATATTGTAGTGATTGTATCACCCTGCTCAGAAGGCTGTTCATGAGGCTGAGGTAAACGCTGCGTTGGATGCTGCATGAATGCTACTTCAGAAGGTGCTCCAGATGGGGGAGCATTGTTTACCATTCCAAATGGCTGAGGTTGCACTGCCTTGAATTCAGCGTTGTAAGAGTTTTTTCGGCACTATTCCAATATTCGGGCCCCAAAATTTTTTTCGCATGGATTTTGCTGAAACTCGGCCCAGGGGGCTTATTCGGTCCGCTGACGGGTTGGTGGGTATACGGGGGTCAAAATCTCAAAATTTGCTGTAACTTCAAACCAAGGGGTCATTCGACATACTGATTAGAAATGTCACACTTTCTCTGCACGAAAACGTCTTCCTGCATGGTTACGGTAGGTTTACGGTAGGGGTCAAAATCACAAATCGGCAAATGTATCTTCTCCTTGTGCTTTGCTTAGGCAAAAGCAGCAGGGTGTGCAGCGCGCGGCGGTGGTCGTGTGTGCAAAGCTTCACAATCGTTCGAATCGCCATGCACTCGTTTCAGGCAGAACTATGTTTTTCACCCGTTACCGTTTACCTATTCGAGAAAATGACGCTATGGTGCAAAACCAATGCGAGATTTGGCACCAGCGAGCCGAATAACCCCCCTGGGTCAAATTTTAGCGAATTCTGAGATTTTGACCCCATGCCGTATACCTACCGTAACCTGAGAAAATGACGCTACGGTACAAAACTAACAAATTTTGGGGCCCGGATACTGGAATAGCGCCGTTTTTTTCTTGCTTAGGAAGAAAAGCAAAAAAAGAAGCGCTGTACCTGAGTAGGCGCTGGAATCCGATTATAATATGAAGCAGAATAAGATCCCATAAGTGGAGTTCGCAAATTTTGTACTGGTACATAGTGTTGAGTTGTAGCCGATGACTGTTGTAAAGGAGGATTTGCGTTTAGTGTTTGCTGACTCGGAAATGCTGGAAAGTTTTTAACGAGTAACGAGTGGTTGTGCTATGCGTCAGTAAACTACAAGGGAGGTCCGTCTGGTCAAAGTGGCCTTTTCATACGAAACTAACGCGACTTTAAAATGCATCGAACGTTGATTCCAATTTTCTTCGTTATCTGCCAAGCGCCTCTGAACGCCGAGTTATGAGTATTTTTCAAGTTAAAAAATTGAATGCGCAATTAGAACAAAGTTCGTCAGAATTGCTCAAATGGCCTAATGCTGATTATCACAGCACCTTGAGGAATAATACCACCTGTCCAAACACTCACACGTAGCACTGCTTGATATGAGCGCTGAAAAGCGTAACATTTGATTCTACCTAGATTATTCGTTCATTTTCCGCACCAAAAGATATTCACAACTCGGTTGCAGAGGCGCTTGGCATATAATGAAATCAGTTTTGGCTTCACCGTTTGATGCTCTCCAAAGTGGTGTAACACTCATTTGGAAAAGCCGCCGACTAAACGCGCCTTCCCTGTGAGTTCAAAAATGGTCATCTCACACCTACAGAACCTATCGTTCCTGGGGGCGGATTGTACCGGGATGTTGGAACTTCTGTCATGCCATAGATCTGCAGTAAGTTCCTATCGTACTGAGCTGGAGCCTAGTGCATGGTGATTATCTTGATCCGCTCAAAATAGTGGACTTAAATCAATCCTACATCTGTATTAAGAATAGCAGCATTTCTGACAGGTTGCTGAGGAGTAATTCGCGTCTTCTTGGTGTTCTTGAATTAAAAATAGTTATTGGGGAAGATTTAAGTGGTGCTGAAAACAACTCACCCTGCTGGAAGCCTGCCCATCATGATTAACAGTGTCAACGGCATTCAGTGATATCGAGGCTTCTGAAACCATTCTATTATGACAGAGTTCAACATCGGAGGGAGGAGAATAAAGAACACACGACTTGTTCGACTTACTCTCAACTTGGACGGTTTCATAGTCGATATCTCTACATTGCATTCGTCGTATGGATACAGCGTAGACCGTGCTGAATTGAAGAGATAAACTGTTGCAAGGAACAATACCTTTTTTTAAAATGTTCCTACGAACTTTCCCTGTTCTGAGGTCTCTGCGGTTATGTCTGAGATGTAATCAAAACCACTAAGTTCATCACCGTTCAGTACCTCACCGCCAACTACAAGCTGTCCCTGAAAAAAGAAGTCGTCGATCAGTTCTGATAGTAAACCGTGAAATCCGCGCATATAAGAACCTACATTTGAAACAATTGCCACCCCTCTGTCTTCAGATTCAAGGAGAGGAGCGTATGAACAACACCGAACCTAATTAAACATATCACTTCCCAATATTCAGTAGGAGATTTTACCTGTAATTTCTGGACTCCATTTGCCAAATTACGAGGGGCTATACCTCCTAGCCATTGACCGCGGGCACATCCTTGACTGGTGAATTTCTCCTCGCATTTCTAAGAAATTATCCTGAAGAACGTGTGTAGTTTTTTCAAGGTTCTGACCGCCACTTGTGGTATCATTTGCGTGTCACGAAATGGAGTGCGAATAAGCTGATCGGATCGTCGAAGATAGCCATCCTCCTTTCCGTCAATTCTATAAGAGAGAGGACATCAATGTGTTGAAAAGTTACTGCATTACCTATAGAACTGGGCTGCATCACCAGCTCTAGTGCCGTCAGCATTCCAACCAAAACATTTGGGTCGAGCGCAGCCTAGCACAGGCTGGCCGCTATGAAGAACCTAGTAAAGCAAGCTTGTGCTCGGTAGTAATCAGAAATTAGTCCTACGACAATAAAACGAGGTCGCCGGAACATCGGTAAAATGCCTAACACTGCTTTTGTTCACCCACTTGAAAGGTGAATGGGATCGCTGCTTGACCACAGTAGGAGGCTAACGTTTGTTCTATGACAATTAGCCACAAAAACAGCGCAAGTTGTAGCATCTGACCAACGACACCTGAAATATTGCTAATTATCCGGATAGCTAGAGTCGAACTAGAGAAAACTGGCTGAGCTGCAAACGTCACTGGGATGGCAGTGAAGATCATTCGCTATGCAAAAAAAAGAGATTTCAAAAGTAACACAGGCCGTGAAATAGACTGACGGATCGCAGTCGGTCAGGCGATTGTGGATCGGAGTATTCGGGCGATGGAAAGTGAATTCACATTCGAATGCAGGTCAGCACACATAACATACACCAGTGGCGGACGGAAAAGGGGCCTACGCTCATCCGTCCCTCGAGGAATGGGTTGCCAGATTTTTGAAACTTTGTATTTAAAAAAAATAAGCAATCAAATTTTTTATCATCAAATAATTGAAGTATTCTTATGATTTGTCCAAAACAATGCGATAAGACTTGTTCTTAGAAGTTTTTCGATAGAGACGGCTGGCTAACGAAGACATCGTCATGCCTCCTCTCCCCCTCCCCCCCTCTTCCCCTCCCTCCCCTCACGAAAGGAAATCTTTCAGTGACGACATATGTTGTCAGCTTGCCGCTACATTTTGCCTTAGGATGACAACACAATAAACTGACAACTTTCTCTTTAGGCTGAACTGGGTTGTTGATATGAATATGGATTTCGCACTTTACCATGATTTTTTTCATGAGTTATGCCAGTAAATCGCAACGACGTTATTCTAGTATTTTTCAGAAGTATTACTAAATTAATCAAAACGCTTATAAACTCGTAAAATGTCCTCAGCGTGTCGGAAGACACTGTACTCAGCTTTCCAGAGTTAATGGATTTTTTCTTTGAATGGTCTATCTTATAATGGCGCTGTATGCTGGAAGTTGCTACCGTGATCATACAGTAACGATGTGCAGTGGGTGATTCACTCCATACTGTAAATCTATGTTGAAGCCTGCTTTGCTAAATGGTACAGTCAGCCAGTGGCGGACTGGGGGGTGGGGTTTGGAACTTACCTATACGGGTTATAAAAATGTGCAAATGACTTTTTTATTTTTATAAATAATTGAAATAATTTAGAAGGTTTTAAAAATTCAAATTAGCGCCGTAAAAATTTTTTTCGGAGCGTGGCGTCAGCTACGCCCCCTTTTTCTAGGTTTTAAAGGTCTTAGGCCCGAAAAAATTTCAAGAAGCACCCGAAAAATTTTTCGGAGTGCGTGGCTAACGCCACGCACCTTCATTTGAAAAAAATTTTTCCGCGCCCTCCCAGGACGGAAATGCTGGGACCGCCACTGCTGTCAGCTAACAAGGAAACGATACTCGATGTTCGTGGCTTTTTGAGATGAGTTGTACACCATTAAACTCGTCTTGGAACGCTGATTCCGAATCTGGAATCCGTTTCTGCTAATCGCTTGAAAGATGTTGTAAAGGATTGTGCGGGCTTTGTCTGTCTACTATTGTTCAAAGCGGCAACAGTGACGGTGCGGTGTGGTCTAGTGGTTAGCGTGATAGTCTCATGAGTTGGTGCAGGTGTAGGTTCGAATCCTTTTGTGTTTTTCAGTTTTGCGTTGCCTCAATAAACCTTCTTTCGCATCTTCGAGCTAACTGAACGCTCTTACTCTTCAAATGTGGAAATTTGGAAATTTACTATATGCGTTAAAATGTATCCAACGACCATAATTCGAGTGAATCTCGAACAACTTTAATTGAGGTAGTCAAAATAAAAAACACAAAAGGATTTGAACCTACACCTGTATCAAGTTATGAGGCTATCACACTAATCACTAGACAATAACATGGCGCCGGTAGAGGCCGTTCTGGTGATCATACCCTTGGGCGGATAAAGTTAGCTCGAAATTCCTCCATAACTTCCTTCAGAGAAACGATTAGCAGAAACGGTAGCCAGATTCGGAATCAGCGTTCGAAGGCGAGTGTAATGGTATACATCTCGTCTCCAAAAGCCACGGACATTGAGTATCGTTCCCTTGTAAGCAGAAGATCATGTGAGAAGATAATTACTAACGATCAAAAGCGTGTACTTACTTATGGGACACTGTATAATTCAAAATCGATTGATATAAACTGTAGGTCTTCTGAGGTCGTTCGGAAGTTCCATGATGCCTAGAGCCGACAACAAGCCGCGCAATAGCGGTTGGTTATTGGACTGTTAGTTGATGGTTGTGGTTGTTGGTTTAGGTTGTTGGACTTGTCCTAGATCTTTGAGCAACACAGTGCAAATCAAGTTCAAAGACATCTATTTTTAGTGCGCATATAAGATGAATAAATCAAGTAATTTCCGTCAAGCCTAAGATTGGAGAAACTCAGTTTTTTGATCCCTACGTAAGATTCGTTTTGGTTTCCAAAATTCAGGGGAAGTGAACGTATTGTGAATATAATTCAGGAGCTCACGGTTTCGTGCCCGAACGCTCATTGCTCCCTTCGCTACAAACACAAACCACGTTAAATTACGCAGGAGACTTGAGGAATGAGCTCGCACTCTGGCTTTCTTTATTTTTAGTACAACACCACATACCTATGTGAAATGCAGGTCTGACGACATAAGCACGAGATCAGTCGTTGCTAAGTGTTGCACTCTAGCGTGAGAGAGCTGCTGTCTATCATTTCAACGACTAGGGCATCCTAGGTCCACCGCATACTGAAGGTACTCTGGTTCCGATACTGACAATCACTAGGGGCTACTAAGAGGGCACCATGGGTTTCATACTCAATACTGGAGACTTCTCGGAATCCATACTCAACAGGACTAGCGCACAGGACTAGTGCGTCATCAAGGGTTGATCATGCTTTGTCAAATGCGCTGAGGGTGTAAGAGCAATTTGCACTAAAAATTGAAAAGAAGAACAAGAGTGGCCATGATTCGCACATTGTCTTAACAAGGCCATACTTCAGCAGACATAAACAGGCAGAGCCAGGCGTACCCTTCATGACAAAACAGATCGGTTACGGCAAGATCGTCAAAACTGCATTGCAACAGTTGAATCGGAGGTTCCTCAAAATCCAATGTGCTTCTCAGATCTCGGCCTAGCAGATTCTCATTAGTTTCACTCTACCGCAAATCACTGCGTTTGTTTCAATTTCTAGGCGTTCTTATTTGCTGCTGATTTTCTGGGGAGGACGCTAATCCTTCGACGATAAGATGGCAGAATTGTGCGCTACGGCAAAAAATGTATTATTGACGTTTCTTTGAATTTATTCATTTTTATATTTTGTTAATCAAGAAAAACGCTTCAACCTATGAAACCACTCAGCACAGCAAGTTGTGAATCTCTGATTTGGGGCATGAGTTAGTTGATAGTCCGTATGATTATTTTTTGTACGGAGCTCATTCTTTGGTGTTTGCTTGTGATTTTTCAGACCTTCTCTTCAAGCTTCATGTGGATCAATGTTTGTGCAGATACTTGAAGGTCATCGCGCAGGGCTTGCTTTGCTTTTTTCTCTTGAATAATACGTCCCTAACATTTTATTTAGCATGCCGCAGAATATAAAAAAACATGCATAATTTTTTCCAAAACATAACTTTTTTATCTCAAGGTCCAAGTAGTGCCGACGTGACATCCAGTCTCTCACTTTTTTCCCATTTCTTTACCTTCCCATCCTCACCACTTGGCTGTTTGCCTTTAGGTCATAGATTTTAACTTGAAAATTTGAACGCAACTTTTTGTGAAATCGAAGTCAGGGCACGGCACAGGCGGCTTATCGAGCACCCTGGATATCGTTTTTGGGGAAAACCAAAGGGGATATCGTTTTTGCGGAAGAGCACACCGCTGTCTTTCGATCTGCAGCCGGCATGCTGCTGGCATGCCGGCAGCACGCTCTCCTAAACAAACAAAGGGCTTGTTTACAGCGAAATGAAGATGAAATGACACCAAAATAGGTGTGTAGATGGGCAATGGGGAATTAAAACTAAGTATGAAAGATTATGAAAAAATCATGTGAATTGAAGCCGTTCTCAACTTTTTTCGGAGTTAGGTGGCTTTCAAGCCACCTAGAAGCCACCTGAGGTGGCTTGGGAAAGAAAAAGCAGTAAATTTTTCCTCCCTCACATAATTTTTCTACTTTCTTTACATAAATTTCATCTACATCCCAAACCCTACTAATTGATTCCTATACCGCCTCATACCCCCTTCTCACCGCTTAATACAGCCCCTTGAATGTTTTGAATGGCGGCGGCAACGCTGCTCCAAGCACGTGGTGCTGCGCGCTTGATACATTATGCCGCCAATCCGGAAATATTTCATAGCGGATGTCGTACTTTCATAGTGTGGTCAAAGGGGACTTCGTTTTTTGCAATTTCGAGAAGCCACCTCGTGCCGAGCCCTGATCGAAGTCCACGCGGTTTATCTAGACCAGTGCTTTACCTCTGCTTCGCTGAGGCTCGCACTGGTCATCCCGGAAAGTGTTAGAGTAAACTTACGCTCCATTAGCTTGTTAATCACATATTTCAAGGTTGCCTGAAGGGAGTGACCCCTATATGGAAATGCTGTTAGATGCCACATGCTTAAAGGCACCGTCCACTCAGATTCTCGACTTCCATGTTTTGATCGTTTGAGGGCCTTCCCATGTCTCTGATTTCACATGAAGTCGAGAATCCGCGGAAACCCCAGCAATCTCCGTTCCGAAAACCCGCGGGCCGGTTTTCCGGTAGTCATTGGCTGGGCGCGCACGGATGGGCGGACATGGATGGGGAGGGCAGTGCCGTCAGGGTTCTTCGTGCATTTCCGTTAATCCGGATCGATTTTCTCGCCTCCAAAGCGACATTTTGCGCCGCAACTTCCGCATTGGTTTCACAGGAGTTCTACTATCATATGCTGCCAAAAGCTCAAGACCCTCAACTTGGGGTTGACGGTGCCTTTGAAGTATTGTGAACAATCCCTCACTGTATTTCGGACAAACTCCATACAGTTTCATTTTGAGCGGCTTATTACCAGTCATCAGTGCTTCACCTCTGCTTCGCACTGGCCATCTGAAATGTGTAGGTAAACTTACGTAATGATCCTGGCCTTCATCATTCTTCA